TTTAAAATGATAATTAACAATTACTATTTAAATATTTTGCATATATGACTGTAGAAGCTGATGAAGGAGTCATGGAATATAACATTCTCACTCCACTCAATCTTTTTGTCTTCTAAATGGGAATTTTCGTGATACTGAAGCGTATAGATGTCAAAATGATTCATCATAATTGCAACAAAGAAAGCACGAATTTATGCTTACGAAGAAAAAACCTGATACTCAATGGGTGAATCGTACTAACATTTACTTCCACGTAATTTATAACTACAGAAGAACATCAGGTCATGGCCACAAAATTCAGAGAAGCAAAATGATTCACGAAAAATCATTCTCACAAGTGACCATGTATCAGAAACATCAAATGTGTTTGCTTAGTAAATACGTGACATTTTAAGGTCTAAAGTTCTTTCAGTAACTAAATAAACCATCCAAGTGATAAGATATATTAACTGGGTCTCTGTTATGTGTTTCGTCTAACACCATTCATGATTCAATAAAACAGTATTTTCAGTGTTGATAATCCGAACATATATACGAACTGTCAAACGCTGTAGAGATAAGTAAGCCGGTAATCAATGTTACTTTCAACCTAGAAATACTCATTCATACTAAATGAGGTTATTTTACGTAAGATAAATTTGAAGATTTTTATTTGAAAACAAAATAATGTCTTTTACTGCCATAGAAACAGAATTTCGGCGCTGTGGTTAAGTACAATTCTATCACAGATTAATTTAATTTGATAAAACCCAGAGAGGCGCATGGTTATTTAATGATAATGTTACGAGGGTAATTTATCACCCCTTAATTCTAAAGTCTACATCAGCGGCCGTTGGGTGACATCGCGCGTCAGGCCCTCAAGTGGAACCCGAAAGGGAAGCGGCGAGTGGGACGTCCAAGGGTGACATGGAGGAGCTCGTGTGATGAGGAACTGAAACAGCATGGACTAACATGGATGCAAGTGAAAAGTACAGCGCAAGACAGAAGCAAGTGGAGGCGAGCAGTTGAAGCCCTATGTTCCACTAGGAACCCAAGGGAACAATAATATATAATAATAATACATCAGCGGCACAGCACAGTAGATTGCTCGCCAACCGCGCATGTGGTTCGAGGTTCGATCCTCGGCCGGTGCACCCCTTTGCCTCGCTAAGCCAGTAATAAGACTGGTAAAGAGGGAAGGTTGGACATGAGGCTAGCAACCCCATCCTGTAAAAATAAACTTCATAGGTCTAGCTTGAAGCCCTATGCCCCACTAGGAACGTAAACGAATAAAGAAACACATATTCCTAAAGTAATATCTTCAATTTTTAAGAATTACAAACATATTTTTCAAAAACTAAAAGAAAAATACAGTAACGGTGTACGAACACTAGTAATATGGAGGGGAGTATTATTTAGGGCATTACACAAAATATACATGTGCACAACTTACTCATTATGAGCTCGAATTGCTTCCTTATTCAGTTTGTTTGCGGACAATCCCATTGTTCAGTCAATGTCAGTAGTAATAGTAGTAGTAGTAATAGAAATTACAGAAGGCAAATATTTCAAAACGTGATCATTTTATTATTATATATTGCGGACATTTTCTCATAGAATGCAGACAGACATATACGCGCAACACACACACACATCAATAGAAAAGTCAATACAACTTAATTATTTTCCTATTGTAAACTATTGATTGGATATTTAATGAGACTGACTGACTGTCTAGTAGTATTGTAATATATATTAGGGTACAACAGTATTCTAATGACTTTAAAAGAAAATATTCACTGTTACGTAATATATTCTTGACCTGTATTGGCCGGAAGCTTCTGTATAGTTTAATTAATTTTCTTGGAATATCTAAACGAAAAAAAACAAAACAAATAATTTTTAATAAAACAAAGCTAACACTGAGCCTATACTTGCGCGTGGTATTTGTATGAATAATTAGTCAAAATTAATGAAAGTTCTATAAACAAACTTCACTTTTATTTACTACATGGAATTTCAATTAAAATAATAATAATAATATTTGCTGAATGGAAACTGTTGACTGAGACTTTCAGCTTCACTACACAGATAAAACAATCTGACTACAAATAATTTTAGCTTATATTGTAGATTTATATATTAATGCTTTACTTCAAAGCAAGCAGGTCTGCTTTCACTTCGTTTGGACGTTTTCGATTGCCTAGATGTAGCTTATTCAAGTGGATGACTGACAATCTAGGCCTCAGATGAATGATACTGAGTGCTAGACTTTATTCTATCTAATTTCTGCTTTCCTCTTTACCTGCGCCCACGATTGACCACAGTGTTTCACCACTCCTCCTCATATGATCTCTTGAATGTCAACCTAGGACGACACAGACGTCGTTTCCCATTTGAGTTCCACTCGAGAAATAGTCGGGCACGCGATATCATTAGACGGTCTCCTCAGTGTGTGCATATTTGTTGAACAATAGGTTCTTGGTTAATTTGTCCCCATAATTTCTTGTTGTTAGTTTTTTCTGGTCATTTGATATTCAATATGGAGCCAGCAAAGGTAGCTGTTAATAAAACTCTGTTCTAGCCTGTTGGAAATGCTTTTGGTGATGCACTGGCCACGTTTCTGACGCAAATAGACGAAATGACTGACTTCACATTTATGTTGGAAATCGGAATCTTGCTCTTTATGCTGCTAAGTGCAGAGGGTTTCCAGACCGGATTTAGATTGATGAAGGTGTATCTTGCCTTTCTGATTCTCACCCAATTTGACATCTTCATCTGTTTCGCAAGTAGATGAAACGATGTTTCCTGGATAAGTGAATGGAATAACCTCTTTCAAATTTCTCCTTTTGAAAGTGATTGGCGTTTGCTATTGTTGTTTCTGTTTGTTGGCTATCCTCATCATCTCCGTCTTCTCTATGTTCACCTACAATCCTGTCTTTGCTCCTAGCCTCTTCTGCCAGTTTGTAGGTTTTCGCCTGCAAGCTTTCGAGTTTGTGTGACGGTAGACATAAATCATCCACGCGAGATATCCAGATCTTTTAGAGTCTTCTGATTGGTCCAAAGTATTCCTGTCTTCTCGCTGCTCATCATTGCTGTAATGCATAATCCAGTCCACCACAATTAGAAATTTCATCGGTGATAATAGGAAGTCGTATTCTACCCCTGTATTCTCTTAGGAAGCTTCGCTGAGTTTACGGCTGTGAGCCAGTAGACACGTGACATTGTCACATAGCTCTTGAATGAGGTTGGTAACTATGTTGTGCGCTGCACGTCGTGGTGTTAAAGCAATTTCCAAATAACGTCTCGGTCAGCTCTACCAAAGGCCTTTCCGAAGTCGATGAATTTAAGGTAGAGGTTTGACTGCCATTCTATGCTTTGTTCGATGACGATGAGTTGAGTTGCAATTTGATCAGCACATGATTTGCCTTTCCTGAAGCTAGGTTGTTCCGTCTGACGGAGTTCTGCATCGAAGGCATCCTTTTTTCTCTCCAGGATGATACGATTCAGTGTTTTACTTGGCGTGGACAAGATCATGATTCCATGCCAGTCAGTTCTTGCAGAGTGACGCGAAAGTTGCCCTTCTTTGGCAGCTTGACGAGGGAGCCTTTCTTCCAATCTGTAAGAACCTTTCACACTTTCCAAACCTTTTGTAGAAACGGCGTAGGCACAACAGCGACGACCTCTGGGTCTGTTTTCAGTGCTTCGGGATGAGGGAATTCCGTCTGGCGCTGCTGCTTCCTGGACTTCAGTAGCTTGATCGTATTTAGTATTTCAGCTTCCGTTGGAGGATTGGTGTCCACTAGCAGTTCTGTGCGTGCTCTTGGTGGCGATGGTGGTATGTCCGGGTGAGTTGCAGTTGGTGGTCGATTCAATAGTCCTTTAAAGTGATCAATCCATTGTTTGATTTGTTTCTCCCCTTTGATAATCAGACTCCCATGAACATGTTTTATTGGTTTCATCATCTGGGTTGATGTCTTCCCGGACAGAGACCTGGTTATTTGATATAGTGTTCTGAGATCTCTTTTACCTGCCTCCTGCCTGTTCTGCTTCGGCTGCCAGAGTGTCATAGAATTGTCGTTTGTCTTTCCTAGCACTCTTCTTCACTTCTTTATTCAGTGCAGTGTACACTGAACTCAGCTTCTCCTTCTGTTGTCCATCTTTGATTTGAATCATCTTCTCTTTCACCATCCTCCTCTCCTCGATTAGCTTCCAGGTGCTGTTCGTTGAGAGGCATTCCTTGTTTTGTTTTTTCTTTCTCCCTATAACATTTGTGCATGTTTCCTTGAACATCAAGTTCAGAGAAATATTTCCAATGTTCTTCCACACAGGTCTCCCTAATGATGCCACGTAGTGTGTCCGACTTTGCTCTGATATCTGTAGTAAAGGCATCCCTTCTAGTTTTGTCCTCCAGTTTCTGAATGTTGATTTCAGCTTCACCCTGAAGGTTCCATGAACTAGATGGTGGTCTGAGTCCACATTCGCTGCCCCTCTCGACTTTGTATCAAGCAAACTATCCGCGTCTCCACTTCCTCAAAAAGCAATGAGACTAAATCTATCTTGTTTGTGGTGCGTCCATCAGGCGAAATCCATGTTGCTTTGTGTATATCCTCGTGTTTGTACACGCTCTCTCCGATCACTGAATAATTGAAAGAGCAGAAGTCTGCAAATAATTCTCCGTTCTCATTCATTCTCAGTGAGACCTCTCAACCCATGACAAGTTCTCTTCCTTTATTATCTGTTCCGAGTTTGGCTTGTATTTATATCGCCCACAAGGGTTTTGATGTCACCATTTACGACGTTGTCTATTACTGTTTGTAGTTGTCTGTAGAAATCTGCCTTCTTCTCTTGCTCCGCGTTGTTTGTAGGTGTGTAGCACTGGATAGTTGTCACCTTCCGTCCTTTTGATTTGAATCTTGCTGTCCTGATCCTGCTGGATGAATTTAGTTCCCACTGTATAAGAGCTCTGGCTACCACTGGTGACATCATGATAGCCACTCACTGCCTCAATGTGCCCGCGGTTTTCGTCTGGATAACCAGACCGAAGTAGATTATTCACTCTCTAGTTGATAATTTTGATAATCCATATCCATTCCATCTGCTCTGGAAGATTCCCAGCACTTCAATACCATATCTGATTTCCCTGGCTACATGGACAGCCTTGCTAGTCTCATACATTGCACATACATTCCACGTCTCCACTCTTATTCTTGCTTTCGTCGAGAGAAGACACATCGGCTGACTGGTTTCTCGAAGGCTTTCACCAGCCGGCTGTGTCATTTCACCGCTCCAATTCCAGGGAAAGACAAGCTTGTTTTTATATTTTTTGTATTTTTAATATTTTTCTTGTGCGTTGAAGTTTTTGTAGCAGTTTGATTGGTTTTGTGGCGAAGGGTGGCTAGCCCTACGCACAACTCTCCCTCTTTTCCCGTGCTTGTGACTGGCTACAAAACTGGCGAGCTGGTAAACCAAGCGTCAGCAAGTGTCATCAACATCGTCCTTGTAAGATATAAGATGACTCTTCAGGACTGTTCGGAACGGATTTGCAATGAAAGGTAGAAAGTGAAGTGGCTAAGCCTGTTGATCACTTCACTTATTCCAAAAGCTGTATCAGTATTAATGGACTGATTTCTGACGAAATCTTAGGGCTGATACAAAAGTATGGTTTTGCATTTGCCAGCGTACGTAATCTGTAGCGAAGTGATATCCAGCTATCGATTAAAGGATATGTGTAGTGCATGGCGGTTTCTTCCGTTCCTCTTTATAACTATGAGACGTGACTGCTGAAAGTAGAAGAAATGAAGAGATTGTCTGCCTCTGATCATATGCAATTGTGTTCTATCACCGGTGTTAGATTGAATAATACAGTGAAAATAACGAGGTTAGGCGTAAAGTGCTAAGTGAGTACAGAAAGGCAACTGATGAGGCTGTGAAGCCTCATAGTCTGAGATGGCTAAGACACGTGCTGCATACGTCGATCCACCTGACATCAAACCATGACGTCTTTGACAGTTGGTTCAAGCCACTTAGAGAGGTTTAGCTCGTCTGAGTGGAGTTCTCGGGATGCTAAGAGCCAATGGCTTGAGATAGCTCAAAACAGTCCTCAGTGACACGAATTTACCCACTCCCAGATCGATTAAATACTCACTATTCACCATAGACATATTCTTTCTCCCATACATAACTGCTCATTCCAGTTATTTTTAATTAATTTCTTCTCTCCTTTCTCTACCTTTATGTGCAATATGTGGAGTGTAGCGGCTTGAATCGCTGCACTTATGTGCAAATTTCTACGATGAAACTCAATCAGTCAGAACATCAGACAGCCGGCCAAAAACGATAAGTAAAATGGAACTCTAACAGACAGTGAACTAGCCAGTTACTTATTACTTAACAATTACGGCAAACGAAGTGTGGATGGATCGAACATACTCTTAAGCGACAGCCGAGGGACATCACATGATGGACAAGGCCACTAGGGGAATCCTGATGGGAAGTGGCAAGACTGGCGTCCGAAGGTGACATAGCCATCATACGAAGAAGAACTGAAAGAATCTGAGCA